TGTGTTTGTGTGTGTTTGTGTGTGTGTGTGTGTGTGTTTGTGCGTGTGCATATGTGTTAATATGTGTTTGGGCTTCAGTGTAAATTTTGCTTCATGTATGCGTGTGTATGTGCGTGTGCGTGTGTTTCGAGTCTCTCTTTCTCTCTTTTTCTTTCTATACCATTTCTACACTGGTTTCTGGTGCGTTACGTTAGCGATGTTGCATGACGTCTCGTCTTAAGTGAGTACTGGTCGCGCATCAGAGCTTGCAAATACTGTGTCGTGTCCTTGACATATTTGGTTTTGCCTTTAAAAAAATTCTTTTGTGGCAGCCCGTCTATGAATAGATGCAATGGCTCTGCGCCTTTGATTTTAATGGTTATAAGTTGTTGGAGTTTTTTGTTTTTTTCCTTCTTAAAAAAGCAACCCAAAAACTTGAAATGGGTGGTTGGATGGCGCCACTGGTATTTCCTACTTCTTTACGTTCCCTCTGTTGGTTCTGTCTGCACGTCTTATAACTAAAACTTGTCTTATAACTAACTTTTTCCCCTCCAGCACTAAATGGTCGTTATTGTGTGTTGATATGCTTTTCTTTATTCAAACAAATTTTAAAAAACAGAACTTGAATACAATGTTGAAAGCGTGTGAACTTACGCACGTTTTTAAATACTTTTTCTTTACGAGGCAGGGGGAGGAAGGTCTCTTGTATTAGGGACTGTGTACTGTATGTGTGCTATAGATGGAGGTTTGGGAGAGTGATAGATTTTGTAGGATGGTCCTGTGTACATGGTTTTAGGATGGGTTTCGTTCTACTATATTGTAATGTGTATTGACTTACTGGGTTCTATGTTTGCCCATGTCTGAGAATTTCCGGCTCTCCTTTTTGGACGGGTAGATTTGTGGCAGGGTCTGGTGTTGTGAAGGGAATGGCTGTCTGTGTGGTCCGATGTACTGCGTGTGTATGTGTTTGAGTGTGTGTGTGTGTGTGTGTGCGTGTGTGTGTGTGACAGAGAGAGAGAGAGAGAGAGTGTGTGTGTGTGTGTGTGCATGTGCATGTGCGCGCGCGTGCGTGTGTCTTTCTGTCTCTCTTTGTTTCTCTCTCTCTCTCTCTTTCTCTTTCTCTCTCTGCCCCCTTTCCCTCTTCCCCTCTTTCACTCTCACGAAATTCTAACCAATGGCGTTAAAAGTATAGGTGTGACATAGGCGTAGCTAGACACAGCTGTGTACCTGTTTGTAAACGTAACATGGTGTCCTAGTCACATGGTTTTGTTTTAAACTTAGGACCACGCAAAAGACAAAGAACATTCGTAGAAAACTGTCATTTATTTCAATGAAAACAGCGGATTTTGCTTGGAATTTTGATCATGTGCCCCATAAATATTCCTAAAATAAACGACCCTGAAACATTTAAATTGTTATTTCTAAAGATATACTGGCTCCTTAAAGCTGTTGGTCCTAAGTTGTACAACGACGTTTGTATCAGCTTGTAGGGTGTTTGATGGGCGCTATTGTGTGGTTTTCTCCTTTTTCTTCCTTATCAAACATAATATGTCGTCCTTATTTGAAGCCCGTAGTCAAACTTAAAACTTTTAAACCAGCGAAAACAACGTATTTATCCGGGTTTTTCTGACACACCTTTCCACCTTCCCCTCCTCCTTTTCCCTCTTTTTTTCCCCCCTTTCGTCCACCATGTTATCCTTCCTAACCGAGGCAGCAGGTGTTCTTTAGGGATGGTTCTTTTTCTTTAAAAGCAATAATTAAAAAGCAACTAACACACAAACAGTAAAAACAAACAAGCAAACAACAACGACAAACCACACGCGCAGATGCACAAACTGGGTGGGACGGGGTGTGTCTCCGTTGCTGTATAGCAAAATGATTAATGTGTAATGCGAAGGAGCGTACGCAGTGAATTATGACGGGAATGGTGGACATTTTGAAAGGGGGATGTCTGTGTGTGGGGGGACAATCCGACTGTGATAACACGTACGGCGCGGGGGATGTGCACGTTTTAAGATACGGTGATATTATTTTTATCATACTACAGGTTGGGCCACTGGGTGTGTCACTGCTTTACACGCATGTACACAAATATGGTCGCTTTTAAGGACAAGCGGGCTAACCCAGATTTCAGGGGTTTCCAGAAATCTTGACCTACACCAAACGTGGGCATTGCTCTGCCTATAGGCCTATAGGAGAATTTTGGTTTCATTGGTGTGTTTGGTTATAGAGAAAACTCTCCTTGTCTTTTAAAGAAACTGAACAAGGGACAAAAACGTTACCTTCGATCTTCTCAAAATATCATTTTTCGGGATAGCCTTCTTGTGCTTAAACGTGACCATACGGACGTACGTCACTCTGCTCGAAGTCTGGATCTGTGTTGTCTTCGTTAGTTGAGGAGGATATTGTGTTTGTGTGTGTGTGTGTGTGTGTGTGTGTGTGTGTGTTTATGTGTGTGTGTGTGGGGGGGTTATGGTGTGTGTGTGTGTGTGTGTGTGTGTGTTTGTGTGTGATTGTGTGTGATTGTTTTACTTTTCGTAGGCAAGTGCTCTGGTGTGCTTTGCTCCTTCTTTCCTATCAAACATCTCTCGTCCTGATCTCTTTTTCTTCTTTTTTGTGTTTGTTACTCTCTTGTGACGCCTCTAATCTTCGGCTCTAATATTATGTCCTATTATTGTGTTGCTAGTGCCGTGAAACTCTTACTAAAACGCGTGTGTGTGTGTGTGTGTGTGTGTGTGTGTGTGTGTGTGTGTGTGTGTGTGTCCCCTAGACAACAATTCGTGAGAAAACAGGATGTTCTGACGTTGACAGACGTAGGTTAGAGTGGGCATGTCGGTTTGTATGTTTGCT